ACATATCACAATTGATTTCGTGACGGGATTTCCTAGGGCACACTCGGGATATGATGTCATTTGAGTAATTGTTGATCAACTCACCAAGTCTTCCCACTTCTTAGCCATCAGAATGACCGACCCCTTGAACAAGGTAACAAGAATGTATATCTAAGAGATAGTCAGATTACATAGAGTGCCAGTGACAGTAGTGTTCGACAGGGACCCAAGGTTCACTTCTCGGTTCTAGTGTAGTTTTCAGCAGGCCATGGGAACGAAACTGTCCCTTAGTACTGCATTCCATCTTCAGACCGATGGACGATCAGAAAGGACAATTCGCACACTAGAGGATATCCTCTGAGTTTGTGTTCTTGACTTCGGGGGCCATTGGGATGGTCATTTATCCCTAATAGAGTTCACCTACAATAACAGCTACCAAGCAAGTATCGGCATGGCTCCATACGAGGCATTGTATGGCCGCCCATGCAGATCGCCGATCTGTTTGAAAGAGGTGGGTGATAGAAGATTGTTTGGTACAGATCTTGTGGAGGAGACTACAGCTAAAATAGTTAAAATCAGGAATAACATCCAGACGGCTCAGAGCAAATAGAAGAGTTATGCGGATACCCAGAGGAGAGATTTAGAATTCGAGAAAAGTGATTGAGTGTTCTTTAAGGTCACTCCGTTCAAGGGAATTAGTAGGTTTGGCAAAAGGGAAAAACTAAATCTTTAGTTTATTGGGTCATTTGAAATCTTAGACAGAATTGACACCGTTGCCTACAGACTGACACGGCCTCCAGAACTTTTCAGGGTCCATAATGTATTCCATGTGTCCATGTTACGTAAGTACAACCCGAACTCCTCTCATGTCTTGACTCACGAGCCTCTTTCACTCCAAGAAGATCTATCATACGAGAAGGTACTGGTCAGTATTGTGGACCGAAAAAATAGAGTACTCCGTAATCGAAAAATTCTATTTGTTAAGATCTTATGGTAGAATCACACACAGAGAGAGGCCACATGGGAGCTAGAATCAAACTTCAGAGCCTAGTATCCCTAACTGTTTGATTTAGTGAGAGAGACAAATTTAAGGGATCAAATTTCTTTTAAGGGGGGAGAGTTGTAATACCCGGAATTAATTTTAAAATATTTAAAATTAATATATAAAACATAATTTTTAAATTTATAAATTTTTATTTAATGTAAAAATTAAGAAAAATAGGTGGAGGATGAAATTGAAAACAATTTTGGGAAAAAGGGGTGAAAATTTGGGTTATGGAGGTGTTTTTGACAGAAAAATTTGAAACTGGGAGTCAAAACATAATTTAGGAAAAATGTGTCACGTATGACTGTCCAGTCAGCAGTCTCGACGAACCGGAGTGTGTCGCGTGGCAAGGTACACTGATGCAGTACCACATAGAGGCTACGCTTGCAATCCGCGTGCTCACGATTGGACGGTCCAAATTTGTTCCCGTGTGTGTGAAAGGTCCAGATCTGTTCCCTCTTCAGCATGATCGGATGGTCGCGATTAAACGCGATGAACGGTCCAGATTTCTTTCTTCTTAAAATGCGATCGTATAGTTGAAATTAAATCACGATGAACGATTCAGATTTATTTCTTATTTTAACGTGATCGGACGGTACAGATCAAATGCGGTGGACGAGCCAAATTAAAAAAGAGATGGACATAAATACTTCACTTCACACCAAACCCTAAGCCTATCTGCCAGCCCCTCTGCTAGAGAAGAAGAACCAGTCGCCGAGAAAGGAGCTGACCGCCGCCCGCAGCCACACTGGAGCTACCTCCGACCGCCAGAAAAGGTAAAAAATTCTCCCAGTCACTCAAAATTTAATTTTGAACACCTCCATGGCCAAATTAGAGTAAAAAGATTGGCAGACGAGGTGGAAATCGCGGGTAAAGCCCGGTGGTGTCGCCGCGGGAAAAATAAAAAACTGCATCCGATGAGGCCCTTCCCGATTCCCGTTTCATACAATTTTTCCACCATTGTATTCACTATTTTGTTTTTCACAGGTTGACCAAAGAAAAATGCGTAACCGCAAAGGTGAGCCACCGGAGCCGCCGCACCGAAAAACCCAACCGCTGGTAAGCTTTTGTTTTTTGACTTTTTTTTGACCAACCAAGGCCTCTTAATGTATTTTCTCGCAGGATGAGTACAAAACTAGCCGAAAACTGCCAACTCGAGGCAAACCGCCACCCGCGGGAGTATAGTGGCGCTGCCGTGTTGAATTCTGAAATTGGTCGAAAAGGATTTCTAATACCGATTTTAGGTTTTTTGGGATATTTCTAGGTATTTGGAGCGTGTTTTAATCTTCGAAGAAAAATTTAGGGAACCCAGGGACCACCAGTAAGCGCAGCTGAAAGTTTAGCATTTCGGACGTTGATTCGAGTAAGAATCCCTCACGCTATTCCTTATTATGAAATTGAAATTTAATTATAAATAATGTAGTATTTTCTACAATTTAGAAAATCTCGATAATTAATCACAGGTTACTAATGGAGCCGGAACTAGTTATTATTCACTATTGATCCTGTTTGATTGATTTTACTGTTTCAAATGCATAATATTATACTGGAGTTAGTATGATGATTCAATGGTGTTTCTTTGATGCATGTATTGTTTGTTCTGTGTGATTTATAGTTAAATTATGAAACTGAAAATTAAATATAAACGGAAAATTGTTTGATTGAGTGAATGATTAAATAGTAGTCTCACTGGATATCCTGAGAGATGGTGGACGGACCGAGTACATAGAAAACCCTACCGTGAACATTGTCTCAAATCAAACGGGGTATCGAAGATTGGTATTTTGATGCTCATACCGGACGGGGTATGGGAACGACCTATTTTACCCTCATACCGGACGGGGTATTGAGGGATGATATTTTTAGTGCTCATACTGGACGGGGTATGAGAACGGCCGATTATTTGAAAATGTTAAATAAGAGTTCACGCGTAGTGGGGATATCCCTATGGACCCCCATGAATACCAATAAGCAGATAAAAAGGGAAAGTTGTTGTTCTAGTTAATTGAGTATGAGATTATGATATTGTTTGTGCTATTACCTCTATAGGTCAGTTTTAGAAATTTCGTTATGGTAAGTGTACAATAAATGATTTTACTTATAATAAATGAATTTACTTAAATTAAGAGTTTCATTAGTTGTTTTCATGATTTTTACCAATTTTCATTTCTGTATCGGTGAATAGTGTGATATTCTTATTTGGGTAGTGTAACTCACTCTTTCATTAACCATTTCAGATTAATAGAACTAAAATTTAGATGTCGATCCACAAGAGGATTACGAATAGGATATTCAGTTGTTTACTTTTCATTTATTTCTTTGATTATTCGTTATTCTTTTAGAAGGATAATTCTCATATTACTATTGGATATTCTAAATTATTGTATAAGAAATGTAAACCCTAACGCTATTATTTTACTTCCGCATTTAATTTATAATTTATTTTTTTTTAAGTTTTAAACTGTTACATAAACTATATAAATATACGTATTTTTTTATTTATAAGCATATTTAGAATAACTATATGTATGTAAATATGCAGATAATGTGTATATCCATATGTATAATACTACATAAATTTATATGTTAAAAATAAAACGTAAAAAGATAGTATAATGCACGAAAAACAAAATCACATGGTTTTAACATAGAAGAGTACAACAATTACCTATATTGAAATAATTGATTTAAATATATATTGAAGAATGTAGAAATAACGTATATATGGCTTGAAAATGTTATATATAAGAAAGTGAATAACTGAAAGAGAGAAAAGGAAATTAACAAATGCTAATAAATTTTGGGTTTAATATTAAGTGAATTAGAAAATAATAAAATGAAAAAATTGATTAAGAAACAAAATAATTTTTGGAATTGTGAAGAAAGAAAAGAATTGTATGATAAGAAGAAATAAAGAAATGAGGTTAATATACAAATAAAAAATAGAGTTAATTAGGAGTTAGAAATTAAGCAAATTAATTAAAAGAAATAAAAATAGGTCAAAAAATATAAAAAGAAAATAAGAAATAAAATTAATAAATAAACATTAAATAAATAAGAACTAATAATCATTAAATTTAAATTAAAAGAAAGTAATATAATGCAAAATAAGAAGAATTAGAAATAATGAAAATTGAAAGCAAAAGGATCCTCTAAAGGATGAGTAAATCTGTTTAGCATGTATAAGAGAGGAAGAGTGTATGTGGGTGTGTGATGAACTCTACTGCAGACCTGACCTCAGATACATGTAATTGGGAAGTTTTATACCGGATGCGGTTGAAAAAATTGCTTATTGGTATTCATTACCCTACCTGGAATGGAGTTCTGGATTGTTAATTGTATTAATTTCTGATTGTATATATCCAAGTGTAGAGGAGATTTTTATTATCGTTAATGATATCAGTTAAAACAGCATCCCACAATAAAATTAAAAAAAGAAGTAAACATGAATTCCTGTGTAGAGTAGGAACGTAAAAAATAAAATTGCATTCAAATAATTGAATTAATAGATATATAGTATATGATTACCTTATAATGCTATATATAGAACATTTAAGTATTGAAAATGCACATTCCCATTTATCTGGAAAACAATGATTTGCTTTTAATTTAGTCGATATGATAATTACCCAGAGAGAGGTAATACATGAACTAAAACGTATAATGGAATATTGATATATATATATATATATATATATTGAAACTATGCGATTAAACTAAAACCCAGTAACAATCTTACAAAAATATTGGCCCATGAGTGACACCATATCAAAAGCTTGGATCTTTTGCGGTTTCCTGTATCCCATGGGGTCTGGTTTTTCTCTTGCCATGTTTGTTTTTGCAGGGTCTTCCAAATACCCTATTTGGATGACAGGGGGTTGGTGGCGATTTGATGTAGAAGAGGCCCATGATCCATTACCCATTGTTTTTGGGCCTGTAAAGTGGCCTTCTTTGATCTCTCAATGCTCGATTACCAAATCTCTCGTCAAATTGGCCGACGCCGAGGAAACGAGAATCAGAAATCGGATGCAGAGATTTGACGTAGAAAATGGGGAAATGGTGGAAAATAGCGGTGGTGGTAGGGATAGCGTTCATTGCGAAGCAAGTCAGTAAGCATTACGGATGGGACAAAGACGCAGCTATGGAAATTATGGGTGAATGGTCGGATCGATTAGGGGTTTGGGCTATTCCTGCTTATATCGGTTTGCACACCATCACTCTCGCTCTCTGCCTCCCGTACGCCGTCTTCCTCGAGGCTGCTGCGTCGATTCTCTTTGGTTTCTTTCCAGCTGTTCTCTGTGTCTTCTCCGCCAAGCTCCTTGGTGCTTCCCTCTCCTTCTGGCTCGGCAGGTCCTTCTAATTCCTTTCTTCTTCCCGTCGTTGTTTTGCTTCTTCTGTTATATATATTATGGAACACAACTTTATCGTTTTGCAATTCTTAAGTTGATTATTCAAAAATGTATATATAGGTTAGGAATCTGTATAGATGAATAGGGCTACAAAGGTCAGCTACACGTGCAAACAGTAAGACCTGGTCAAGAATACAATAGGCCTGCTTGATGAAATTTGAAATTGATAATCATTTTAAAGTTAAACCTGCTGTACGATGAGAAGTTGATTTAATAGGAAACATTAAAAAACCTCTGAGGTTCCCTTAGTCCCCTTAGTTGATTCATATAGATAATTTTTAGTATCAGTTTTTCTATGTATAATTCCCATTTTTAAGAGTTAAGGAGTCCAGATAAGAAAGTAATATTTGCAAATGTAATTGGTTAAGGTCGTAAAAAGAAACTTTTGGTAGGATTTTGTGATTAATGTTTCTTAAAAAGGAACATTTTGGTTAAAAAGGGTAAGGCTTCCAAAACCAGTTTGTTTCTTAAAGCACTAAGAATAACAAGTTTTTATATGTATAATTCTCATTTTCATTTCCTTTCTTTGTAACTTTTTGCTAATGAATTCCACCCTATGGGAAGCTTTGATGCAGCTTAAGAATATAGGAATTAAACATGTCTATTGTCGGTGCCTACTGCAATGACACTCCATACCCATTTCTCTTTTTTGGTTCTCTGAATTGCTTCTAAAACTAGCTTGTTCGATCTTTTCAGGCTAGTCATTGGGAGTTCAAGTTCAGCAATGGAATGGGTTCGAAGAAATAAGTACTTCCATCTGCTTTCGAGAGGAGTGGAACGTGATGGTTGGAGATTTGTCCTTCTTGCGCGCTTCTCACCCATGCCCTCCTATGTCATAAACTATGCTCTTGCTGCTACAAAAATCGAGTTTGTGGTGGATTTTCTTTTCCCAACAGTTATTGGCTGCCTTCCAATGATCTTACAGAACACATCCATTGGCAGCCTTGCTGGTGCAGCTGTTGCCTCAGCATCTGGTTCTCAGAAATTTCAGGTTTGGTCTTACATTTTCCCACTACTTGGGATTGTATCAAGCATTCTTATTTCATTGAAGATCAAAAAGTACTCAACTGATTTGAAATTAGATGAATCTTCTCCTGCTGATCATAATGACAAATCTGATCATGTTACTGATTCATCTCAAAGCCCGAATCATGGTAAAGGAAGCAAGGGCATAAAGAAAACTCAATGAACAATATATTTAAACTAAAAGCTATATTTGTAGGCAATGGTGCGAGTTCAGATCCATTACATTAGCAAACTGATATCAATCTTGTTTAGACCAAATTCTAATAAACTTTAGAGTTTGGTTTTCATCTACGCCAAATTTATTAGAAATTTAAGTGGTATCTGTATCAAGTTTAAGTATGCACACTACTCCTACCTCAAATTTGTTACAAAAGGAGACAGTATAATACTGATATCTGAGCACATAGCATATGTATGTCAGTGTACTTAAATCAAACATCTATGATGCGGAAGTCAGTTTTGATTTCCATGGCACTCGATTCTTTTTAACTTTATGTTTTTTCCGGTTAACTGGTCCTGTTCATGCTCTTCGATGCATCTTAACTTCATTGATCATCTTCATCAATGTCATATGGGTATTATTTTTTATTTTTTCCCCTTAGATTGACTTTTTTTTTTTTTGGAAGTTCCAATTAGATGGAATACAATGAGAATACAACATAAACAAAATAAAATTTTGAATGAAAATAACATTATAATGTCGTGTTCTTGTGATTATTCTATATATTTGTATGTTGAAGTTTAAAAATGTATAATATCTGTTGTGTTCACTATGAAATGAGAAAGAGGAGGGTATAATCTTTTAATCATGAAGGCATGCCATCTAAATGTGATAGATGTATCTTATTTTTTTGAGATTTTATTTGTGATGTATTTTTGAATAATTATTTAATCATACTATTTGTTAAAATAATCATACTTTTAATCTTTATTTTACTTTTACAAATAACAATTTCATGTGAAAGGACTATTTTTTCCCCTTAGACATCATGTTAAGTAAACTTGCTGTGTGTGTGTGATCGTTTTAGACTCACTATCAAATGTTTTCAAGTCATAATTTTTGTGAACTATGAGTGACACTAATAACACATTCACTGCTAAAATATTTAAATAACTTTCTTTTTCCAAAGCATTTTGTTAGTAAATCTCTTCATGAACAGTTAAAATACAGTTGATCTTTTCTATCAACCTATGTCCCTGAATAAGTTAATCCAAAACTGGACTGGAGACTCGAACTAAGTCAATTATCCGGACTCGAAGGCTGAATCGCTCGACATTCAGTTTGGTGCGAGCAAAAATTACCCAAATTGAGTAACGATCTGGATTGAAGACTGAATCGTCGCCCAACATTCAGTAGTTTGGTGTGAACGAAAATGACTCAAACTGAGTCATGATCTGAATTGTTGGTGCCAGCAAAAAAATTACCAAAACTGAGTAACGATCCGGATTGAAAACTTAATCACTTAACATTCAAATTAAATAATGATCTTGATTGAAGATTGAATATCTTAACATTCAATCTAGTGCAAACGAAAATGAACCCAAATTAGTGCTATTCAAAAACCTGGTTTAATTAAAAAGGTTAGCTAAAAAAATTTAAAAGCTTTAGACACATGGATACACCACCAATACATGATATGGGCTTTATGCACATATTTACATTGTATAAATTATAAACAATGAACTCCACAATTAGCTAAGGAAAGAATTTTTAAAAGATGCACTTTCTTCTACTTTCCTAAGGTATGATAAAAATTTGAAATAAAGTAATAATGTTTAATTTTCTTGTACTTCCGCAACACGTTTAGTAAAAAATTAGATATAAACCATCTCTCTTAAACCATCCTTTTGCTTATCCCAAGTAATAACCCATAATCCTCTGTTTAAAACCTTCTAATTAATTGGTTTTAATATTGACTACGTTCATATATATATATATATATATATATAGCATAATCCTTGCATCTTTCAGTTAATTCGTTGGTTTTTTTTTTTAATCGGAAAATAATTAAGTCATTGGTTGATTAATATGAATAAGTAAATTGAAGAGGGGACAAATGTATCATATCAAAGTTTTCTTTTTCTGGGTCGAATCAGTTAAAGGCTAGATGCCAAAGAATATGCTACGTAACTGGTTTCATTTTCAGATACAATGTATGTATATTACTTGTCTAATTTTTAATATATTCCCACATTCTTGCTCTACTATTTATATACATATATATTGCAGAATTAAAAATAATACAAGTATATGCTGACTAATAATACCATACAGCCGCAAAATTAGAATACTGATCATACTTGAAAGTTTGAAAGGTGAAGGAAAAAATTGTTGAATTGAAGTTGTACAATGAATATAACAAAAAAACAAAACAAGGGTCTGTTTCGCTGCGGAAATATAACATTAATTCTATGTATACATTATTATCAGGGGGATGAATTTGATATCCTTAATCTATATTCTTGATTGCTTTAGCTAAGCTGTATAATTTTCTCTCATGGCTTAAAAATTCTCTTTGTGGAAATCAAACTTGGTCGAAGTCTTACGAGAGAAGTCGGAAGCTAATTGCTTTAACTCCTTCGTTAATGCTGGTGCACCACAGTAGAATACTCCTGCACAATCAAATTATCCCATAATTTAGTTAAAAACCAGATCATTCATGCGTAAGAAACTAATTTAAACCAGGATGAAAAGAAAAGATATAAATATTTACCAACACGAGCGCCTTCGTGGTGAAGAGCGATTTTCTTGTAGACCTGCCGCCAATTAGGTTTAGCGAAGTGTGACTTAACACGAGTGCCGGAAACAACATCGACCCCATTCTTAGCATGGTGGAGAGACTGCAACATTGTAATGAGGGCAGACCTGGCATCGCCTTCTTCGTAAACGCTAGTGCAGTAGTTATGGAGTTCAATTACTCTTTTCTCATCCATTTCTGCAACTTCATTCATGATCCCTTTGAACCATTCGAATGATCCTTGCTCTCTGGTTACCCAATAGAAGTAAGCCTTCCTTGTACCGAAAGAGTTATTGCTACTTTTGTTGTTCTGGCTGCCGTTTTCTAGTTCATCTTCTGCCGTTTTCATGTTATTGATTATGTCTTTGAGGATACTTATCATGGGGGTTGCACCAATTCCAAGTCCAACCAGAAGCACCACTTCATATTTCTTGTAGTCCTGTGCTGGAGCTCCATACGGTCCATCTATTAATATTCTTGGGAGATTAGGAACGTTTCCTCCTTGCATGTTATCTGCTCTTAGTAATCCACTTTTACCCGCAGCCGGAGGTTGGCAAACCTAATCAACCGACATAAACATCCAATTAGTTCACGAACTAATTGATTTAAATTATTTTCGATCTATTTAATTTTTTTTACGATCCATATATACTAATTGATTCAATCAAGAAAAATCAATTGGTAACTTGATAAATTACCTCGGAGAAAACTGTTTTGAGTTGCCTTGTCCAATCACCAAGTGTTCGGATGTGAACGCTCAGGTAATCATCACCTGGTGCTGAAGTAATGGAAAATGGGTGCCTGTCCATCAAGTCATAAGTTGAATTATTGACGTGCAATTAGGCGCTAATCTATGTATATAGAGTATATGCTAAAAAATGTAGAAATTTTTCTAGGTGAAGGGAAGTTAAGTTTTCAATAATTTGGGAATTAACAATTTAATATATCTTTAAATAAATTTATATATAAACTAATATTTTTATAAAATATGTATATACATACCACTCGAAGGGAGAAACTGCAGAGCAGTTGACGAACATGTACTGGCCACTCTTGTATTTGAAGCCTTGAGGTCTTGACATGTGCAATGCAAGGACGTTTCCAGGATAAACAGCAACCTTGAGAATCTTAACAGGCTTGATACTTGACCTAAAAGCTCTGATCAATCTTTCACATGCATAAAGAACAACCGGCACCACAAGATACATCCATGTCTGCATCAAAAAATTTACTCACATGAAATTCTGAAACAAGTAATAATAACAATTAATGGGTAAGATTAAAGGAAAAAATTTAAGAAAAGGGTAACTCACCGTTTTCTGATACCATTTCTTGGTGAGGAACAAGAAAATTCCATGGATGACGAGGAGAACATAGACGATGACGAAAAGATGGTGTGAGTACCAGAAGGCATTGAAGCCAGTGAGCTTCTTGAGAAACCTTGGAACGTTAAGCTTGTTGCGTCTGAACCAAGGAGTGGCTAATGTGAAAGCAATCGCCATGAGAACAACCATCACGATCCCTGTAACTCCTTCAACTCCTTTCAGGAACCACCAGTAGTTTGGTGGTTTGGTCTCTCCGAAGAATGGCTTCATGGGCTCGTATTCTTCTTCAGTTGCACGAAGCAGCAGTGGGAAATCACAGGTTAAATGAGCGCCTCCGTGTAGGATAATCCCAATACCAATCCCAACAGCAATCACCTGAAATTTCATTTGTATACCAGGTAAACTTTTAGACCCAAATGACTAGCTATATATAATAGTTTGAAAAGATAGTGTGTGTGTGTGTGTATATATATACCTTGTGAAAGTTGAGATTGTCATCAAAGGGCACTGCAACTCCTAATTTAGTCTTGTTTCTGAGCCAAGTGATGGTGTTCCGGCACACTGGAAGTAAAATCAAAGCCATGTTGAACTTGAGAGTCTCTGCACCTCCTTTTGCGATGCACACACAGTAACTCATCACATCAAAAACAGCTTTGCGACGGTACTGTACAAACTTATAAGCGAATAAACCTCCCACAATCCCAAGCCATAACATCATAATCCAAATTCTTTGCCAGTTATCCATCAAAAAGTACTTAAACTCCTGATACCATCTTTTCAATGGGTTGTTTTCCTGCGTAGGCTTCAGCTTTTGACTCAATAGCTGACTCATAAGCTTGCTATCTCCTATTCTCACTGATTGGTTTGGAGCTTGCAACAACAACATTTCCAGGTTCTCAATCTGTTCATCAATATTCATTGTACACTCCCTCAGTCTCTTTGGTTAAAATTAAATCATTACTAGCTTTGTGTAATTAACTACGTACCATGATGTACCCGGCATTATCTGGGTCTAATTCCTCCATGATCAATGCTGCATATTCATCTGCTTGTTTTTGAATATTAGAGAGCTTGTTTGCAGAAGCACTTAGACTAATGATCTGCAACAGCGCAAAATATAATGAATATAAGAGCTAATTCTAGTGTCACTTTACATCATAATATATATATATATTCGGAGCAATAATATAATGGATGAATTAGTGGGGACAGTGTGATATAGTTGAATTGATATGTGAGAGAGTTGAAGTTCTCACCTCTCTGACTTCTTCTTCGCTGATTCTTCCATCTGCGTCTTTGTCCACCCTACAACGATCCAATACATTAACTTGCTAGTTCGAAAAATCAATTGTCAAAGAGTAACAAACTATAAAGAATGCGTTAGAGAACTTACATGTCAAAGAACGTTTGGAGCCTGGAATCAAAGCTTTCATCAGAAATTTGATCCCAGAAAAGTTTAAGCTGCGCCTTGTTAATTGAATCCCCACTTACGCGATTCCTCCTGGCAAGTGCATGAAACAGCTCTCCTGCAAATTCTTTCGACTCTCTGTTCATCCCTGTCATTTTTCAAAAAGAACTATAAATAAATAAACAATTATTAAAACGTTAAAAAGTCAAAATCCCAAATGGAGCAGCATGCGTTAGTTGATCTTTCAAGCTACCTAACTGATGTAATTGTATACTATAAACGAAAAGATGGAAGAGAAAGTAAATAGAGGTGGTAGGTATGTACCTATACACTCCCCAAACAAAGAAGCAGGAAGCAAGCCGTTGGTAGATGCAGTGAGTTCATCGAAACGTTTCTCAACAGGAGGCCACGCGGCGTTTCCACCGGAACCCGTTTTCGAAGTGATGAACTTGAGACCTTTCAAGGCATAAGCTGCGGCGGATTTCGTCCTGTCGAAACGTCGAGCTGCAGATGACCTCCGAGAAATGACCCGTTTCAGCTCCTGGGACACCTGCTTGATATGAGCCGATGTGTTTCGGAACAACGACGACGACTTGCTATTCTCCAGAGTCTTCTTGGCCAACAGTGCCAGCTCGGGATCTTCATGTCCGGCGCCAGCCTGCACGCTGTGGACTGCTACTGAGTCATCGCGAATGTCGAGAGTGATCTCAACGTAGGAGTCATCACCACCGATGCTGCTGCTGGTTGAGTTAGTTTTATTCATCATAGTCATCTCCTGAGGGATGTTGAACCTGGCGCTCTTCTTCGAACCACGTTTACTGCTCATAGGTGCACCCAATGGTCCACTGAAACCAGTTCTATCGCTCGTTATACTCTCCGTGTCGGAGTTGTTCTCCGAGTAAGCTCCTCTCCCCCAATTGTCCTGCTCCCTTCTCATCCTCTCTCTCTCTTTTTCTATATATATATATATATTATAACAGAATTTGAAGGAAAGAAATGGTGGGTAATTGCAGAATGAAAGAAGAGATGATGGGTATGAAGAAAGAATGGATTTTGTTGAATATGAATTTGGCTTCCGAGGAGGTTGGGGATGAGGTTTATATATAAATGAATGGAAGGGAGGAATTTTCACATGCAGTCGTCTTCTAGGCGCGTTTTAGAAACTTGTAGGAAGCCCGCAATGCCGGTCAAACTGACCGTCTGACTCTGAATTCTTTGGCCTCCTTCTTTTTAATATTATATTATTGTAATAATATAATATAAGGTAAGACCATTTCCAAGTTGTAACAATATTCAGATAAGAATAATTAATTCATGATTCAAGTAACTAAAGAAATAATAATTGGAAATCTGATTATAATTAAATACGTTAATTAATCAATGATTTTGAGTATTTTCAGACATTCGCATGACTTGAAATTGGGTAATTAATCCCATGAATATTATAATTAAATATCTAATTGGTAAAAGGGAATTTCATTACGTTTGAATTTGATTTTCAAACTATTTAGTGATATTATCAGAAGATAGTGACATTAACAGACAACTATTTTATAGTTTGATTAATATTAGTAATAGGTACAGAACCGGCATGTTAATTATTATATTTATTTTACTAATAAAAATATAAATTTATACACATTTTATAATTAAAGTAAGCAAAAAAAAATTTATTTATAAAGTTATTTATTTAAAATATATTAAATAATAAAATTAAAAAAATATATTATTCTAAGTATATTATTAATATTAAAAATTAAAATATAGTTTTAAGTATTCAAACTTATTATAAAAGATTAAATCATCAAATCTACTTTAATTAAATGAATTGGTTTTTAATTATTGATTTATATTAGTTTTATTAACTGCTCAAGTTTTACACTTAATTAATGCATTTATCAAATCAGACTGCTTGGTTATCTGATTCACACTCAAAATTAACGAATTGGACGTAAATTAACAAGTGTATAAATAAAAATTTCAAGTGTTTATATAAAAATGTTGTACCAACCGGAAGTCGGGAACACTCATCATTCACGTGCATGAAAACACGTGCGCAAATTAAGAGAGAATTTGCAAATTGGAATTTTAGTAAAGACGTAATTTCTTCATTAATCCATTATTTGACTTTTGGAAGCATATACATACATACGTGTAAATATATCTATAACAACAAAAAAAAAAATGTTTGGTCCCCTTTTTTAAAAAAATTAAGAAAGCTTGGTTTATGGAACATCCATGGGGTTTTAATTGAATTTTAGTATGAAATTTCCACAATACGACCAGATTCATTTGATATTATTATAAGGAGCCAATCAGCCATAGCAGACATTTATAAAATTCTTAAATCTACAAAACGAAAAATAAATTAAATAAATATGCATGTGATGTTATATAAATCAATTATTTCAGCCTTCCGGCGACTTTGAATAATGTTCTAGAATAATTGAAGCCTAGAGGGCCCCCCTCCTCATGTAAGTTAGATGATAGATAATTTTTTTTTTTCAAAAAAAGAAAAAATATTAATACATTTAGGTAAAGCTTCACGACTCTTGACTATATATTATCATATTAATTTAAACAATTTAATACCCAAAAGTTAGACTTTTTACAAAGATTTTTTTTTTTTTCCAATGAAGAAATTTTATAAGGTTTTATTAGGACTAGTGAAACCGATTTTAACTCCAATCATTGTGCCTTATGGAATCTTAAAAAATAATTTTTTATTACATATAGTATCGTAGAGCATAAGGACACTCAATTAGAGAATGTACCCAAAGATTAAAGAGCTTCATCAATGAGGGGGTGGATAAATGGCAAGAAAGAAAAAAGGTATTAATGTGGCTTAGGATGTACCATGAATCGACCTTATTTTCTCCGCCATCAAGATAGTAGTACCTATAAGCCAAGGAAAAGTACTAGAGGGATTAATAAACATTTTTATATCGTTAATCTTAAAAATCTTCTTAAGATGAAACTAGAAAAATTAGTTGTACAACTAAAGCTAGAGTTTGGCACAAAGGATGTACCTTGGACTTAATCAAAATATTACAGTAACTGCTCTAAAGATGTATCTAGTAAAAATATTGTAACCTAAAGAGGTATGACTAGTAGTGAAGTGTGTTATATTAATAAAGAAAGTCAATGAAATGAGAAATTAAAAAAAGAGTTACCTAGAATAGAAGATCATCAAAGGTAGAAAAGGAGATTGAAAAGTTTCTATAGATAGTTAGAGAGAGTGAATATAGTATTAACTATGGAGAAGTTAATTAAGCTCCCTGCTAGGATCTCTTTACTAACCCTATTCTTAAGTTAAAAAATTCACTAGGATACCTTCATTGAATCGCCAAATGAAGCTTATATGCTCTCAAACATGTAGATAGAACATTTTTAAGATATGCTAATGACAATACTGACACCAAATTTTATTTATGTTAGAGATTTCGAGCTCTTATAAAGTGGAGTAGGGCACAACCCTTAGTATTCTAGTCAATTCATAATCAAAGTCCAGATAAAAATGTAATAGTGAGATAGAATATATGCATTAATTCTGATGAAATGACAAACACTTAATATATTAATGTTATTGTATATTAGTTTTTGAAAGCATAATTTTAGTAGAAGTTAAAACAACATAATAGAACCTAAAGACTCTTGGATATTGGTTGAAAAATAAAAGAAAATGGAAGATACAATAACTAGAGATTACATAGTTGCACTTGAAAGAGAAGAAATTGAAAATTTAACTATCTAGATATAGACATCTCCAAAGTAATTATGTGAGTTTTAATTATGCTTAGGAAGTATGGTTAAATTGTTTTGAAATAAGAAGCGAGTATATAATGCAATTTAGGATCTTACAATAAGGAGTTGGTATATCATGTAGTTTTGGTTCTTATGATAAAGAGCTTATGTTTAATGCAATTTGGGCTTTTTGATAAGGAGCTATTGTATCATGCATTTTAGGTTTTACACAAGTACCATGTGTATTTTATGTTTGAAACCTTCTATTTTTTAACATCACTTTAAATTTTGGTAATTTTAATGTATTTGCATATGACGTACAGTAAGTTGGCCACATAACTTCATCTTTCCATTTTTTCTATCCACGATTTGCAAGAGATTGAGCAATATGTACAATCATGTTTCTTGACTTGGATTATTGTCTCAATTAATCCTCAACCACACTTGACGCTTCATACAAAAGGAATAAGACTTTGCATTTTTTAACAAACCTTTTACTCACTTTGCATTTTATCTTTTTCAAGTTCATGTGCCTTATTTTTGAAAATGCTCGTCATTCTAAAATTATTAAAGAGTAATTTTTCAGATTTTCTCATTTTTTGGTTTATTTAAAATAGATATATAGTCTATTAAATATAAATACTCAAAGTATTGAGCCAATAAAAGGTTTAAGCATAGATGAAGAACATTTTAGGTTTTTTTTTTCGTAGAATAACATCATGTACATATTTTTCACATGATCATCTGTATTTTTAATTGTGGACATTTTTTTATATAAGACCATCAAAGCAATCCAAGGAGATTTCAACTTAAACAAATTCTAAGGAAAAAAATTGAATACATTGTAATTTTATTATGAAAGGCATTAGAGAATCAAACTGATCAATGGTTAAAATATTACTTGAGGTTTTTACCTAGCCAAAATAGAGCTCGATTATGTCTCCCTGTAAAACTTTATTATGGGTTCTATGAGAATGAAACATTTTTTTCTAAGATAGTCAATGATGTAATAGTACTTAAAGTAATTTAGCTCATTTACCCCTCATTTTTTTAATCATTTGCATCTTAAATCTAAAGTCTAACATATCTTTATCTAAGAAGGGTACTGTTTTGACTCCTTTTCTTTTATGGTCAATTTTCTTATCTTTTTGTTTATTCTTAAGATCTTTACAAAAGCAACATTAATTGTCATCACATTTTCATTGACATCACTTTTTCTTTTCCTGTTAACTTCTCTTTGTTGATAACTAAAAATGAGGCTTTAATTATTAGAGTCTAAATTTCTTTGAACGTGAGAGATTAGATACCTTTGAAAATGTATAACTCAAAATATACGACTTGAATACACATATCATTTAAGATAGACAACCCTTGCAGTCAACACTAAGGGGTATTTATCAATTGTTATAACCAACAGTTTTCTCGTCTTTTCTTTTACTTTGTGTTAGCAAGCTTAGTCATACTTATCGTTTGACAAGTGCAAAAGAATTAATTAAGAAACTCATTTTCTAGTCATCCCCAACTACCAATAGATTCGATCTCTAAGTCAATATACCAATCAAAAGTATTTTTTTTAGCAGTTTCACAAATTATTTGATAAACAGATCCCTATATGTATTTGCACAATTGCAAGTTTTGTCGAAGTAAGGCAATGTGTTATTTAGGCTTCCTCTTTAATTGAACTATTAACGACCATTAACACTATCATAATTTAAGTTCTTTTTGTGTAAGATTTAGAATAAAAAAGAGGAGTTTGTGATAGACACCATGTTGGGCTTTTATGATCCCAATCATATGTTATAATTGTTTTAGGAATAAGGAAACGATAAATGTTAAGGGGATTGAAACTTGTTTCAGCACTACTTTCATCTTTTTAGTGCTTGATGTTTGAATTAGGTCTTGAGGGAATATGTAGATCTTTATCTCTCCCAATTTGGACTTGAGTGCAACAATCTCCTAATCTTTATTATTTAGAACTTGGGATAATATAGATACCATTCTTTCATTTTCGATCAACAATTCTTCTGTAGGGAAGTATTTATCATCATAATTGACATTATTTCATAAGCAAAAGATGTTGTGTTTGCATGGTGAGGCAGATCATGAGTAGTACTTGCCTTCAAAGTCGTCTTAATGTTATGGGAGGACAATCACTTGACTCATGGCCACGGAAATATTTGGTGGCAGTAGTGCATTAAGTATTTGACTTAATTTCTTAGGATATTTATTGAAGGAGAAAGAGATGATAGGTAAAGTGGTCCCATTAGGCATGCCAAATTTATGATGAAAAATTTACAAACAAAATAAGTAGACACTAAAATTCGTTGCAAGGTAATT